TTCGTCTGTGGGACTTTTTTTTTTTTTTTTTTTTTTTTTACAGCCTGTTTAAAAATATGACCTATTGGTTCCTGCACCAAGCACAATTTTCTCAAACCCCTTTCCTTTCTCCTCCACCATTGATGGGAGCAACCTAAGGATTCCTCAGTGCCTTGGGCCTTGCAGAAAGCATGCTGCCTGACCTACTTGTTCCAGGGCACTGGGATAATTTTATCTCAATCCCAAGGACTTTAATATTAGGGTTGTTGTCTAATTTGCCATAGATCCCCTGATCTTTTGCCCTTACAGGACTACAACTTACCATTTCCCTTGATGCAACCTTGCTGGAACTTAATTCTGGAGTCAGGCATTTTCTTGTTTAACCCCTCCTATCCAAAACTGCTTTTAAAAGTGTCCAGAGGTCTTCTGAGTTCCCCAGTGAATGATTGTAGAAAAGGTTATTTTTTAAATTTTGTTTCTCCTGTAAAATCCCTTTTTTTAGGAGCTCACGGGATATATAGATTCTGTTATTCTGTGCTGATTGTCTGCTTTGTTACTATAGCCTGTAGTTACTTTAATTATTTTCTGGTACTTCTTGCTACTCCTAAGCGTGTACAGAGGGGTGTAGCCCACATGGGGAGGAGCGATGCCTTTCTGCTTATACAATCTTCTGCTTGTCCAACCTTCTAGGGGCAGGGTAAAACCTGTGATCTGCTGTTTACCCAAAAGAACTATTAAAAAATTGATTTATTTTTTTCCTTGTGTACAAAATTTAAAAAAAAATAATTTAATTCAATAACATACGTTAATAAGATTATTCACACTAAGGTGCTTCCAGTCAGTATACAGCTAAAAGCATTAGAAAGGCTACAGGTTCTCCCTGCAGGAAAATATATAACTCTTAGATACCCGAGTCAGAGAATCATCCTCTCTGGCATCATCCATCCACAAAGATTCTGACAAGCTCTCATAATGTCTTTTAATCACTACTGTCCTGCCCGCATATCATGTCTATGCCATATGTATTGATTGTTAGCTATGCCATGATTTTTTGAAAAACCTTTAATAAAACTTTCAATGAGAAAAAAGAGGATACATTCGTTTTTTGGCAAGGTTTATGATCTTGTTTTGTTTTCCAATGAAGTTTTATGTATGTAAATGTCTTTTTAACAAGGTAACTTCAGTGTGCTTCTACGCGAGTTGGTAGCTGAATTCACCTTGACTGATAACTCTTCCAACACTACTACGTCGCTTCTTCGTTCTCTGTGCCACTACGATGACAGTGTTTTGCTGGGCTCCTGGCTCCAAGAGACTGACCACAAATCCATTGAGGACCAGGCAAGGCTGTTAATATTAGTAGTACCTTTCCACGGTTTCTTGATGTATGTTTTTAGCATATACAGTACCCATTTCAAAACCGCTGTTTAACTTGAGCTTAACATGTTGTTTAGCTTCAACCCAACAGTGCATCTGGTAGCGGAGCTCTGGAGCATGACCCATCCTCCATCTACCTGCGCATCCCAGTTGGTGAAGCTGTGCCAGGTCCTCTTCCTCTGGGGGTTTCTGTCATTGATGCCTCTGTGGCTCTCTTTGGAGTCGTGTTTCCTCATGTGTCATTTAAGCACAGGTCAGTGTTACTTTTCACTGTATGATAGATTACTGATAAGTAAGATCTGTCCTGCATATCATTTTGGTTACAAATGTATGTCTGGGCATAAAAACATAGTACATCTCTGCACTATATAAACATTTCCCAAATGTTTTGTCTCCTAAAAATTTTCATAGTACAGAAAAATACCTTTTGATTCTGCCAGATGTTCAGTGCGTTTCTAACTTCCTTCAGTGAACTGACATTGCTGGCGTGCTTGAAATTATGATACTCGAAGAGGACTTCGATATAGTGGGTATATCGGAGACCTGGCTAGACGGCACACATGATTGGGCTACTAATTATAGAGCGGTATAACCTATTCAGGAGGGACAGATGTGGGAGAAAGGGGGGGGGTTGCATTTACGTCAACTATCTAAATATGCATATAAGGGACGATATCATGTCAAACAGTGGAGAAGATGTGGAGACCTTATGGCAAGAGCTCGATATGGCGGACCCTAGCCGTAAACGTATTGTGGGTATTTGCTATAAGCCTCCGAATATAGGGGAGGAGGGGTTATGAGACAAGGCTTTTGACCTTAAACATGTTTACGCTGGAATTAAGGAGATTAAGGGAGGATATGATTTTCATGTACAAGATGTTCAATGGTGACAGCAACATTGGCAACAAACTGTTTGAGATTAACTCCATTACAAAGACTAGAGGCCACCACCTAAAGTTGGTGGAGAAAAAATTCCAGCACAATGGGCGAAGAGGGTTCTTTACAGTAAGAGCGGTTAAGGTCTGGAACTCACTGCCATCGGCAGTGATTTCAACCAAGAATGTAGATTTGTTCAAGAAACGTTTGGACGATTTCTTGAGGGACTGTAATATCCAGGGATACCAGTATCCCTAAGAATGAGATGATGCGTGGACCTATATGGGTTGGACTTGATGGACGTATGTCTTTATTCAACCCCAAATACTATGTAACAAGGGAGGACTCAGGCAGGGCTGACAGCACTACTTGGGATTTTAGTGCTGTAGTGTGAAACAGCTTTTATTACTGCAACACCACACATCACTGTAACATCATCACCAGGCTTGTCAATTTCTTGCAAAGGCTCTGCTTGGAGATCAGTTCCTGTGGATGCAGTCATGTCACCAGAACCGCTTTGTTTTGCTCGGAAAGAAATGCATAGGGAGTGGGACAGGGAGGGGGTAGACAGAGTTTTGTAGTCCAGCAGGCAGGACTGACCATTCTGCTTCAGCTTTTAGTGCAGCAGGGGCCCTGTGTTGTCAGCCCAAAAAGGAAGTTAGGCGCATACTGGATTTCAGACCAACTGGCATTTTTCTTTAATTGCAGCATTGTAAACGGATAAAACATGAGGAAATGTGCTTGTATTAGACAGATATACATAATAGGAAGTGTTACCCTCTAAATCAGTGGTGGCGAACCATGGCACTCCAGCTGTGCCAAAACTACAAATCCCAACATGCATCTGCCTCTGGGAGTTATGTCTGTGGCTGTCAGAGCCTTGCAATGGCTCATGGGACTTGTAGTTCCAAAACAGCTGGAGTGCCAAGGTTCGCCACCACTGCTCTAAATGTATCAAATTATAATAATGAATGTGCTACTCTTCAACTAGAACAGTCAAATAAATAAACAAATCTCTATAATATATAAGTGCTAAACAATACATGCAATCAAAGTGTTCGCAATTTATTTTTCTTGTACATATCAATCCTTAATAAATATCCCTCTGGAAAGTTCAATCATATCTTCCGTGTTCAGATGTACACACTCTTTATCCTTCCACATCCCTCTTTATCCTGACAGTGACATTGTATGCCACCTAACCACTATTGGCTTTTAGAGAAAAAAATTAATACAATGTTGGCTTTTAGTTTTAGGCTGAAAAGTACAGAGACATGTATGAAATCCTAGGGATGTGAGGTGTTTCCAAATGTATTTTAATGCATTTTTTTAGCTGTGCTATTTTTCTAAAAAACAACAATAATAATAATCAAAACTGGGGAAAATTTGTTTTTGTTTTGTTTTTTTTAATGTTTTTTTCCTCATTCTTTTTATATTTTAGTCATCATAAGTGAAGTATTAGGGCTGTATATTTATATCACATATGTGTGCCTATCTGTCCTCTAAAAAAACAATCTATAATTTGTGTGGATGCACTTAGTAAGAAAGTATATTACTGCCGTGGAAGACTGACACAGCAAAAATGTAAAGAGCGCGTCAGTCATTAGCGAACAGAAACTGAAAAAAATGTTCAGTCATGAAAGGGTTAAACTTGGTTATGCCACCCATATGTCTTGCACAGCATTCATATGTTCTTTGTAACATTCTGATACTCTTTAAAGGATAAGTTCACCTTTTGCAAAAAGAAATGAATGTAATAATCTATTAAAAAAATATGCATTCCTTTAATATTTGCATTCGAGACTGGAAAGCATTGCAATTGTGATCACTCGATCACAGCTACAAAGTTGTGGCTTCTGCACATTTTCATACAGGCAGAGCTCCATACTGATGCATGGCGTTTCCGTTAAGAGAGATGGGAGAAGGACGGCTGGACTTCAAACTGCATATAATCACCTCATACTAGGTCCCGAAGAAGTGCAGCCGTTAAGCCTTTAATGTATGACCGGTGGCTATGTATTTTAGCAACCATCTGACGTGTGCATTGAACGTGCGACTGAGATTTATTTCTAATCCATATGTGCACATTGGTTTTTGCGTTAATTTGATGTTTTGCAGCTGCAGCTTTTTACAAGCCCTATAAATGCTGCTGACATAAGTATTAAACAGGTCCTCTGCAGCATGAGCCTCATTATAACTAGGCATTTGGCTGTGTTTTCTCTTTTAGATTACAAATGTTGGATCATTTTGCTGAGTGTGTAAAACAAGCTAAAGGAGTTCGACAACAGTCTGTGCAACTGAATATCTTTACAGCTGTGCTTAGTGCACTCAAGGTACGGATACCACAGTATGTAAATGCCAAGTACTTGCCATATTTCTAGCAATTTCCAAACCTATTGGAATATACTTTATTTTGTAACCTTTGCAAATGCATTCTGTCAAGCCAGCATTTGCCATAGCACTTATGAAAACTGTTTCATGCTCCCATGTTATTGTCAAATGTCCCATTTATGGCACATGTTGCTCGTGAGCTGTATTGTAATGTTTATTGAGCATTCGGCCAAAGTTGAATTAGGAATTTTATTAGCCAATTGTACAAATGCAAATGTCAGAGTATTAAGACTCTCTTGTCTGTTCAAAAGGCTTTGATCAGACCACAGAAAGCATGTTGCTTTTGTAATATAAAATATTAGGAGATATGTGAGGTTACGCCTCACCCTCCTCCACCTCCTCTTCCTCATTACTATGTAATATTCAAGAAACTCTAAACCAGTGCAAACAAGAATTGGTTCCCATAATTAATTTAAAACTCCACTTCTTCTTCTGTGTCTGTCATGGTGATGCAGTGGTGTCAGCAGGCACTGATAGTGTTTATCACAGTGATCCTAAAGCTGAGCGCCATGCAAATGCCTAAATGCGCAGTTAACGTTCATTACATGTCTTACCTACCAAAGGATTTGTAATTGTGTTCAGTCAGTTTTGTCACCCAGGCACCCCCCCTACCAAACAGCACAGCAGGTCTGTGACCTCATCTTCCTCTACAGGAGTTTAGGTATGTTAGGACTTAAAGTGACTTTAAACCCTCAGATTTTTTTAACATAAAACAATATTGTAATGTGTGCCTTACTGTAATCCATGGTTGTTTCCCTTCTCTTTGCTGCTCTTCCTTTTAAATCCTCATGTCTTCTCATGCTTGGGGAGAACTTCCCTTTGCAGTGCCTCTTCCTGTAGTGCTGGCTCAGGTTGTGAACCTACACACAGACACCATGTTTCCATTTCAGAGACAAGGCAGTCTGCTGCACAACAGAAGTTCTGCCCAGCATGAGAAGAGATACGGATTTAAAACGAAGAGCAGCAAAGAGAAGGGGAAACAACCATGGATTACAGTAAGGCGCACATTACAGTATTGTTTTATTAGTGGTGTCAGCAGGCACTGATAGTGTTTATCACAGTGATCCTAAAGCTGAGCGCCATGCAAATGCCTAAATGCGCAGTTAACGTTCATTACATGTCTTACCTACCAAAGGATTTGTAATTGTGTTCAGTCAGTTTTGTCACCCAGGCACCCCCCCTACCAAACAGCACAGCAGGTCTGTGACCTCATCTTCCTCTACAGGAGTTTAGGTATGTTAGGACTTAAAGTGACTTTAAACCCTCAGATTTTTTTAACATAAAACAATATTGTAATGTGTGCCTTACTGTAATCCATGGTTGTTTCCCTTCTCTTTGCTGCTCTTCCTTTTAAATCCTCATGTCTTCTCATGCTTGGGGAGAACTTCCCTTTGCAGTGCCTCTTCCTGTAGTGCTGGCTCAGGTTGTGAACCTACACACAGACACCATGTTTCCATTTCAGAGACAAGGCAGTCTGCTGCACAACAGAAGTTCTGCCCAGCATGAGAAGAGATACGGATTTAAAACGAAGAGCAGCAAAGAGAAGGGGAAACAACCATGGATTACAGTAAGGCGCACATTACAGTATTGTTTTATGTTAAAAAATCTGAGGGTTTAATGTCACTTTAAGCAAATATTGCATGCTTTCTTGTGCATTCAGCTTGCATCTGGGATCCATTTGAGCTACTTCTAAGTTCCAATAGAAATGTTATGGTGAGAACAACAGTTAAGATAAGAACAAATGCCCATGTATACAAGCCAAGCAGTATTCCTGGTTAAAAAAAGTACTTTAAAAATCTGCTCTCACTAACTGTAGATGAGCTTCTAGGTAGGGTGGGAACAGCAATACATTATTCTTTGAGTCTGCCTAGGAATTTTAGCTAATTTTCATATTAGCAGCCCTGTTAGATTTGCACATGATGGAAGTTAATATTGATATTATATTCTGAGAAAGGCTCTGCTATTACAAAAAAAAAAACTGTAGAATTTTGCTTAGACCACAGTTTTGTTTTTATTTAAGGGTAAAGGAGAGGACAATTATTGAAATAAATCTGCAAAAGCATTTTGCACTTATTTTATCTTTTGTTATCCAGGGTCTTGCAGAGAACAAAAGCTCTCTAGGTCCCGAAGAAGTCAGAAAATCAGCTTTGACATTGGTTATGGGTGCCCTGGACAATCCTAACCCTATCCTCAGATGTGCAGCTGGAGAGGCCTTGGGCAGAATGGCACAAGTGGTTGGAGAGGTATCATTCATTGCTAGGATGGCACAGTACAGTTTTGACAAGTGAGTTTGCATGTTTGCAAAATTCAAAATTCATCCTTTACATACTTTCATAGTCTACTCTTGTCCCTTGCCTTACACTATTGCAGCCATTATACCATATTGGAAGCAAGGTTATGCTTACGTGTTCTTTAAAATATGGAGCTCTTACTATATAAAACATTGGTTAATGCAAATTGTGTTTTATCTTTTTTCTTATTTTAAAATCACCCAGATTGAAGTCAGCTCGGGATGTTGTGTCTAGAACAGGCCATTCTCTTGCACTCGGCTGTCTACATCGTTATGTCGGAGGAATCGGGTCAGGGCAGCATCTTAAGACCAGTGTCAGTATTCTCTTGGCTTTAGCTCAGGATGGCACTTCACCTGAAGTTCAAGTGAGAATATCTTCACTAAAGTATTTTAAAATAAAGGAAAGATATGTTTTTTTATGAGAAGTGCAAACTGAATGCATTTTAATTTATTTGTAGACCTGGTCACTTCATTCACTTGCCTTGATTGTTGACTCAAGTGGCCCTATGTACCGGGGGTATGTTGAACCAACTCTGTCTTTAGTGCTTACACTTCTACTGATGGTCCCACCTTCACACACAGAGGTGCACCAGTGCCTGGGTCGCTGCTTGGGGGCTATCATCACGACAGTGGGACCAGAGCTACAAGGTGAGCTCCAAGATATCTCGGTGTGCTGCAACAAGCCAGATTGGCACCATGTTTCTTGAAACCATTTAGACAAAGGCTCGCATGTTTATTTACCCCTCCTTACTATCGTTTAAACCGAATAAACTGGATTGTTATTACACATTTTCACAGCCCTTACTGTGAAAAAAGCAGTTTTCTATGCAGAGGTTAAACTACTTTTTCTCCAGGCTCATAAAGCGCTCCTTTTTTTTTTTACCACTGACCGTAAAGTGTATTTTCACTTTTGCAGCCAAATTAGGATAACACCGTTTTATATTTGTTACATGTTCTCATTAAGATAGCATAACTTGAAAAATAATTAAAAATTTCTCCTTTACATATTACTAGTTTCCTCTAAATTGAATTCTCCTCTAGAATGCAGTGGGGGCAGGGGAGGTGTGCCTTTTTCAGTAGATGATTTTATTTTATTTTTTCTCCAGTTGATTATAGAACAAAACTTGGGCCCTTACAATCCTCTCAAGTCAGGTGTCTGCATTGTCTGTTCCTTTCTAATGTCCTCTTGCTAGTCATTTGCTTATTCATACTATCATACTAGGGGTTCCACATGTTGTTCTTTTTGTTAGGCCTCCACTCTAACTGAGTGATTTAAAATCTAGTATTGTTACAAGCCTATTTGTGACTTTTTTCACGTTAATATCCTTTAATGTAACCTTCTTGGGCCATCACTTTGGTTGGAAAGCTGTCGGAGTTAAAAAGCTAGATAAATCTTTGTTTTTCACAACTCGTATTCAGATGTAACAGCATGTACAAAACAACACTCTACTAGACCAAATAGGACTGTATAGGTACAAAAACTTTTTTTTTTTAACTGTAAACATTTTTATTTTTTAAAGATTTCATATGAAAATGTGAAAAGGCTGATATTAATGTAGTTGAATTGGTGTCGTCTGTAAGGAACCCTATTTCTCCTTGCATAAGACAATGTTGTTTTGAGTCCAATGACTAGGGTTGGACTCGATGTTGGAGCCGAGCGTGAGTTCGACTCGAACATCGGCAGTTGGTGTGTTCGGCTGGCTCTTCGCCAGTAGCGCACCCCGCACAATGCACTGTGCCTTGTGAGCCCTGATCGGCTAAAGCCTTGCACCTGACCACAGTTAGGTGTAAACATACAGCTAGACTTTTATCTTGTGTTTTATATTTTATCATAATTACATTCCTAACTTGGGGAGTTTAAACTTTGAAAAGTAAATTAAACATCATAGTTAATCCATTTAATATCAGAATGAAGAACACAGAGGGGAATTTATCAAAACTGGAGCAGACAGAATCTGGAGCAGCTGCCTATGGCAACCAATCAGATTCTCTCTTCAGTTTGTTCAGTTAAGTTTTGAAAATGAAGATGAATTCTCCTCATAGTGTTTTTCCTGTGTATGTTATGCATTTTCTTTGTGTTTTCTGCTTGCTGTGTTTATTATTTAGTCATCTGTTGAGCTGTGGATATTCTGTACTTGATGCACATATACAATGTTAATGCTTTAATGAACTGACTAATATAAATGTTGATTTTTACATCACAGGCAATGGACCCACCATTTCAACCATTCGTTCCTCTTGCCTCGTGGGCTGTGCTATCATGCAGGATCATTCAGACTCTCTGGTTCAAGCTGCTGCCATTTCCTGCCTTCAACAACTTCATATGTTTGCCCCTCGCCATGTCAATTTGTCCAGCTTGGTCCCTTGTCTCTGTGTAAGTTTTTTTTTTAAATTATGCAATCACTTTGCTGCACAGCCTGCTCCTGGGAGTCGCCTTTTGCAGTTGCAGCGTAAAAAGTAACTATTTGTTTCAAAGTGATCAATTATATAATTCTAATTGCTGGAGTTTCTGATTGATGAACTTCCTCTCCATTTTTAGCTTTCTCAGGCTAGGCTCACGCACTGCACCCGGGACGCGCGTCCCGGGATTGTGCGGTCCTGTACAATGCAGGCAGCGACTGTCGCGCGTCCACATTAATTTTAATGGGGGTGACATCCGCGCGGCAATTGCAGAAAAAAGGTACTTTTTTTGTGCGATAAATGACGCCCGGCTGTTTTAGTGTTCAGAATCATGGCGATCCGCCCGCGCAACTGGGGTGCCATTAGAAAGTAATGGCACCCACACCGTGATCGGTTCACACCTTGGCGACTCCTGACCGTGCGGAATAGTGCACAATTGCTGTGCGGCGAGGTGTCGCCTAGGTTCTGTGTAGTAACCGCTGTATGTTGTGTAAATTTAAAATATCTTTTTTTTTTCTCTGTAGGTCCACCTGGGTAGCTCCCATTTACTGTTGAGACGTGCGGCCGTTGCTTGCCTGAGACAGCTGGCACAGAGGGAAGCAGCTGAAGTGTGTGAATATGCCATGAACCTTGCAAAGAATGCTGGGGACAAGGAAGTCAGTGGCATCAGTAAGTTGGAAAATGCAATGTACTTGTACAGTAACTTGTTTTGTTTTTTTAAATAACTCTAGCCAAATTATTGCTTTTAATTTTGGTAAAAAAAGGAAAAAAATTGTTGGATTTCTCGGTCTGCGGGCCTGTTGGAAAGAATTCTGTACACTTGTACACCTGTGTAGTCACTTGGACAGGAATTACCTAGAATCCTCCATATAGGCACATAGACTGCAATAAAGGTGCATTTAAAAAAAAAAAAAAAAAAATTATCTGTCCTCACAGGGGAGAGTCTCTTCCTATGTGGTCACTTGAACAGGAAAGGAAAACACTCTCCAAAGATACACAGAAAGCAATGAAAACCTGGCAGAGGCTTTAAGCTTTCCTTTTTCTACAAAAAAATAAACGTTTCTGCTATATTTCTACTGTAAGGTTTTCTTTCAAATTTTCTGAAATACACCCATGTTATTATTATTAGTTTACATGTCAACCAAAATGGTTGGGGTCCTATTTATTTTTCTATTTTTTTTCCTGCCCTAAATGTAGCTGAGACATATGAAATCACTATACTTTCCATGTAAACATATTTTTTCACTTGATTTGTGGCTATGCTGATAAAGAAAAGTTGACAGAAGTCATTAGAATTGCTTGAAAATAGGTTTTGTCTTTTGATTGGCATTGCTTAGTATGCAGACCAAAGGCATGCACACATGTTTTAGCACAAACGGCATTGGTAATTGTTTCTTTTTTTTTTAGAAATAAATATAACTGATACAGGTCTGGAAGGAGTTCTGTTTGGCATGCTAGACCGGGAAACCGATAAAAAACTTTGCGCAGATATTCATGACACTTTGGGTCACATGCTTTCTTCCTTGGCTGTGAACAAATTATCCCATTGGTTGCAACTATGCAAAGATGTCTTGGCAGCCACCAGTGGTATGTATCAAAATTTAAGATTATCTATTGTTTTTCTAAATTTATGTTCTAACCATCTGCATTTTTATTTCTAAAATGTAAATCAAATAAATGGACTTCTGTACAGTATGAATTTATGAAGCTGTGAGCAAAATTGAAATTGCTAACTTTCAACCTGCTAATGTTTTCGGCGAAAATGATCACTGCAACCTGAATGGTTGCAAAATGCAAATTCCCTTTAGCTTTAAAAAAGCAGCTAATGCCAAGAAGATGTGCGCATGTTTTAAAATTGCGAGATTTACAGAGGACATGCAATATTTGGTGTATGGGCCTCATTTATAATTATACTTGAGGGAATAGACGTCTCATTTTGTGTGCCCAGTGTCTATATATTAAAATATATGGACGCTATAAAGCCGCACAGACAAAGATTTTCCATCAAATACTTTCATATTTAGGCCCATTATGTTTTAAAATGAGTACTTCACTCTTAACACAGTGGCTTGTGTGCTCTTTTATTGTGCAGATCATTGTTGCTTTTCAAGCCACTCTGTCTGGGAAGGAGCTTGGAATACCTTAAAATACCTTGTATGAGAGGGGTATTAAATCTCTTCAGGATCTTTTAGATGGTTCCAAACTAAAACCTTTTCCTTCACTTAATTCTCAATTCCACCTCCCATCCACAGACTATTTTAGATACATTCAAGTTGCACATGCCCTCCCCTCATTACTCTCCAATTGGTCTACTCTACCTAAACATATCTGGCACTTTCTCACCTCCTGTTAAGGGTATATAGTGTTATTTTATACCTTCCTTCAACGTAAGCAAGTGTTTTCTAAATCTAAAGCCTTCCTAGCTTGGGAAAGGGATCTAGAAACCTCTTTTACCCCTGAACAATGGTTATACGCATATAAATCATATAAAGCTACCAGAAATGCAGACTTGCGAGAGCTTTCCCATAAAATGTTTTTACGATGGCATATGACTCCTTATCAAATCTCTAGGTTCTCCCCAGATGTATCTCAATCTTGCGGACGCAATTGTGGTGAAATTGGCACTTTAATTCATGTATTTTTGACTTGCAAGTCCTTCTCAAGCTATTGTTGTAAAATCTTCCAATTAGTCTCTTCCATAATGGGATGCATTACACCTATGAATCCATCCCTAACCTTGCTCCTTCTAGGTATTGATCAACTTCATACCCAATACCATTCAGTGGTTGTTCATATATTGCTAGCTGCCCAGCTCACTATAGCGCAAGACACTGGAAAAGCTCTACTGCTATTTCTATCACAGAAACACTTAAGACGCTGCAGTTACTCTACGAGTTTGAAAGGTTACATGCACTTAAAAATGACTTGGTAACATATTTTAATAAGAAATTGAAATTCTGGCGCCTTTAGGTAGTTGCTTGAACCAGGGGCCTCTTCTTTGCTCTAGCTCCTCTACTCTATCTCATGATTTGTGCTGCCTCATATCCTCCAGTTATCCCACTTCCTTCTTCTCCCCAACCTTTCTTATACATCATCTCCTCTTGGACATGATTAAACTGTACTTGTACTGTTTTGTATAGATAATGCAACCACACTAATTCGATACTGTATTTTATCTTCTGTGTCCAATTTAAAAACCCAATAAAAAAGTATTAAAATACATTGGGGGTGGGGGGGGAATTATCAAAGCAATTGCGACAGTTTTAGCCTCTTGGATATTTTTTTTTAATGTGCAAATCTGTCTATTAACATGCGCCCCTCTTTTGACCTGAGGTTGCACTACTTTTTCAATTGCATGTTTTTTGCACCGGTTTTCATCTGCACTTGTCCTGCGACTGTCTGAAACTGGAGCATCACCTAACAAAACAATCACAACTTTAGACCACTTCTTCAAGAAGCGACAGCTAAGCTTTTTGCCTGGAGTTACGAGTCTTCTTTCCTGGAGTCTATTAAACCTAATTTATGAACAACATTACACTAGCATCATAAATCTGGCGCAAAGTGCATCAAATATACTCCGTGCAAGTTCAAACACTCGCAATTGCTATGATAAATTCCCCCCATTGTATGTATGTTCTATGTAAATTGGTGAGTTTCTCATATATTTCAAAGGAAGCTGATCAATGTAAACTGCAGTGAAGCTGAGCATTTATAAGCATTAGCACTAAGTGATCCCGCTCTTACAGAAAATCCATCCTAAACATAGAAGGCTAACTTGTGCTGTGTTGTCATGATTTAATTTATAATCAGAGTGAAGGACCTAAAAAATAGACTGTGTATTTCATACATTGACCGACTCCCTGTTAATGTACAAAATACATAAATTATATTTAAACATCATAACCTGGTTACAATAAATATCCCTTCAATATTGATATTTATTATACTGCTACTTTAGTAGAGTACTTTCTCCCCAACCTGATGATGTAGCAGCTGATTTTGCATATTAAGCCAAAAAAATAAATAAACTGCTTTGTATGTTCCTCATTAAACAAACCTATACTAAATTTGTCATTGTAGAAGTGGGCACAGCTGGTGTGGTGGCTGGAAGAAGGGATGAAGCGTCTGAGAAGAAAGATGAAATGGATGACGATACCATGTTTACTACACTTGGAGAGGATGATAAATCAAAACCGTTTGTGGCACCCCGTTGGGCTACACGTGTCTTTGCCGCAGACTGTCTTTGCAGAATTATATTGCTGTGTGAAAACGCTGACAAAGCGCACTTTGATTTAGCTGCAGCCCGTACACTAAAACTGAAAAATACCAAAAGTAGGATTTTCCATTGATCTTTTATCCTTTTATTTATGAAGACTGCCATGCATGCTTTATTTAGATCTTTGCAGTTGGATGGTGCTCTCTGCAATTGCTCTTTCTGATATAGAAGTTTTAGAGCTGTACAATCTTTATTTGATTGCACATTACTGTTAAATTTAACATTTGGAGAGCGTTTTATAATAGCGGACAGCTGGAAATAACCTCATCAGTGCGCTTCTCTCCAATTATCAGAATGTGGATGGAACAGTGAGCAAGAAAGCAAAAATTTGACAGTAGTTTTTAGTACAATTAATGATAAGCTAGGCAAGTACCCTGTTTTACACCGTAACATGAAGATTGATAAAGTAGGCATATAGAGGATGCTTGTATCTATAACAAATGTTGGTCATTAGTGGGGTATAAAATTGAGATCCTTTGATTTGTGATTGTTGCCTTTAATCCGACTTTAACATTATGTTGACTAAGACGGATACCCTAGGCCAGTGATGGCGACCCTTGGCACTCCAGCTGTTTTGGAACTACAAGTCCCATGAGGCATTGCAAGGCTCTGACAGCTACAGACATAACTCCCAGAGGCAGATGCATGTTGGGATATGTAGTTTTGGCACAGCTGGAGTGCCAAGGTTCGCCACCACTGACCTAGGCCCCAGGTTAGTCAGCTAAGTTTTGATTTTAATTGTTCATTGACTGGGAGGCCTAAAAATGTTAGTAGGGGGTAGTAGTGCTGAAGCTATTTATGGTTGTCCTTTGCTGCATCACCTTCTCTGTAGTCTTTAGTGGCGCTAACTACTAGTGGAGCTCTGGTGTCACATTTAAGCGTCATCTGTCCTGATGAACACAATCTGTTACCTGCACAGAACAGGGTACTATTTGATATAGCAAGATATATAATATAGTACCCACAATATACAGTATATATGTAAAAACATATAAAGCTTATAAATATGAAAAATATAAAGCCATTTGTCCCTTCCAGCAGTGCAGATTTTGTAAGAATATAGCACATTTATATTGCCCAATGTAGGCTCACAAAATGATTATTTGTTGTAATAAGTAGCAAACATTTTAACATCCTACCACTAGTATCAAACATCCCTAAGATGTCTTTTTCCATCCAGGGCATTCTAGTCGGATCACTGGCTAGCAGGCAACCTTTAATTCTTGCTCTTACCTTCCACTTATTCTGCTACCTTGATCGCCTGCCAAAGTTCCAGGTAAAAAAAAAAGAAACCTACTTCTAGGTAAGGGCTCTCTTCCCTTGCTTCCATGAGCAGTGTTGGTGACTTAACAGCCAATTGCTAGGCTTAAATGCTGTCACATTAGGGCTGGATCCCAGGTGTACTGTAAGTTCTGACAAATGTACATCATGGAAGTTATATAATCATTATTTGGGGGCTCTGGCAGGAAAATTGGAGCACAGTAAGCACAAGCAGCAGAGAGTCATCCAAATACAGCGTTTTACTTTGCCCCTAATGGGAAATGTAAAAGTTTGTTTTAAGAGGAATCCAGAAAATATCCCACTGCTCCTCAGTCCCTAACTAAGGAACAGAATGTTCACAGATCTATCTAACAAATTTATGCAAGCAAAATCAGCGTTCTGTTTGTGCGGCTGTTGCGTATTTTTGGCTTGTGGTTAGAGCCAGTGATTTGGGGTTTTTGTTTTCTTTTTCTGGTGTTGAGCATACATATTTACTTTGGAATTAGTGAGGTTTCTTTCTTCATGATTCTGTTTGTTTGTGTGCTATTAGTAATATAATAAACCTCATAACGTGGCCTGACATGTCATTTTTGCAGGGGGCCACATTTTGAAGCAAAGTTTAAATCTGGTTAGAGGTTTTTTGCTAAAGACAAAGAGAATTGTTATTTTGATTACACTTTCTCATTATCCTATGTTCTCTCTTTGACTATAAATAATGTTGAGGCAGCCCTCACTTTAAAGTGAACCTTTACCCGCTTTCACTAAAAATCACTTCAACATGCAGCTTTGCATGCTGATATGAAATCATCTTGCATTCAGTAGTTAAACAAACATATTTTGCTTTTACTTACAATTATTGTTTTTTTTTTTCTTCCCACTACCTGGTCCTCTTGGGCATTAGTGATGTAATCTGTGACCAAGCGATGTGTCCTGGGAAGGTTACAACAGCATTGCTGGGAAATCTCATCTGTAATCTCACAAGATCTCAGGGAAGGCATTTTCTCCCCTGAGATGATGTGTATGGTCACATGTCCTAGTCACATGTGCCATATCTCCAGGAAGTAAAGAGACCTGTCACATGTGCCATATCTCCAGGAAGTAAAAAATGGCCACTGTGAAAAGAATGGGGAGGAAAGAAAAATAGGTATAGATAATTGCCGGCTTTTTATTCTTTGCATATGTATCTGTTTGTAGATTGTCATTCCCAAACATTTCTAAAGATGTATTTCATTTCAAAGATACGGATAAAGTGCCTCTTTGAGTTTAAAGATATAGTGCATTCAGAAAGTATTCCGACCCCCTTCAATTTTTGCAGCCCGATACTAAAGTTGTTTAAATTCTATTTCTTTCTCATTGACATTCACTCAGTACCCCATAATGACAAAGTGAAAACAGAATTTTAGAAATGTCTGTAAGTTTATAAAAAATACAAAAACTGAAATATCACATGTATTTAGGTATTCAGACCCTTTACAACAACACTTGAAATTGAGCTCCGGCACTTCCCATTTCTCTTGATCGTTGCTGAGATGTTTCTACACCTTGATTGGAGTCAATTAAATTGATTGGACATGATTTGGAAAGGCACACACCTCTTGCTAGAGGCCTCACAGCTGACAATGCATTCTGTATCAGAATAAAAGCCATGAGGTCAAAGGAACTGCCTGCAGAGCTCAGAGACAGGATTATTGCAAGGCACAGATCTGGGGAAGGCTACACAAAATGTCTGCTGCACTAAAGGTTCCCAAGACCACAGAGGCCTCCATAATTCTCAAATGGAAGAGGTTTGGCACAGCCAATGTGATTTTTAGTGAAAGGGAGTAAAGGTTCACTTTAATGGCTAAAACAGAGTTGTACTGAGAGTTTGCTTCCCCACAGATGCCCACTGTTAGGTGTGGCCTTTGAACTATCTTATTTTAGCATGTGTGAGATGGGGTAGGAACCTTTCTTACAGCTTTTCAATTTTCATTTCTTTTAAAAGGGATTTTGTCCTATTGTCTTTGTATTTAAGCAGCCTTGCACTATACTGTATATTGCTGAGTTTTAACAAATTCTCCTAGTAGAACATTTTTTTTTTTAAGTCTGACTAATACTCTAATTCTGCTTCTTCTTTTTTTTACAGATGACCTTTTGGTTTTGCACCTTTCTGACCTTATTCGGATGGCTTTTATGGCTGCTACTGACCACAGCAACCAGCTTCGTATGGCTGGTTTACAGGCCTTGGAGGATATCATCAAGAAGTTTGCATCTGTTCCTGAGCCTGAATTTCCTGGACATGTAATTCTAGAACAGTATCAAGCTAATGTAAGAAAAATGCTTCGCAAAATATCCTTCTCACACCCTGTTAGCAGCTGAGAGTGCAGTATTTTATTTTAATACATGGATATAAGTATTGTCTTGGGTCATTTTGAATTTTATTCATGCCCAGTTTCTATAACTTTAATTTTGGATGCTTCAGTGGTTTGTAATACATTAAACCTGCTGTATACTTTTAGGCAGAGTAACACAACTACTGCATAGCAGACAGCCTACATTGCCTGCTCCCAACTGGTAGCATCACCCTTCTTTCTGCTCTACTGCTACTAAGCAGATTCTGATTTTCATAAAGCTTGTATTTACATAAGGCTAGGCAGGTGCTCTCCCCTACTGTTTGCCGGTGCTTAAGGCCTGGCAATGGACATATAGTAGTGCCACTATGCACTACATTTTAGGTTGGAAAAGGCAGTAGCAGTATGTGTGTTCCATATTTGGAAGGTTGGATATGTTACAGGGTTCCAGTGACAGATTGGAGAGGTGGGTGGTGCTGTCAAAGTCGGACCTGCACTTTAGGGTATCTGCTGTATTGCAGCTATGATACTTTGTTGCCTATAACGATACTACAGGGTTCCTGTTCATCTAGGTTATTTGAAAATATTGTTACAGAGTTTATAGCTCTTTTTTCATAAATGCCTAACTGCTCCAGAAAACTGACCATGAATTTAATTTCCAGGTTGGCGCTGCACTACGGCCAGCATTTTCACAGGATACTCCCTCAGACATTACAGCAAAAGCCTGCCAGGTATAAATGTTTCTGCTGTGAATATTTAAGACACATTTCCTATAACATTCCAGTGACAACGTTTTGTGTATTGCTGTTTTTAGGTGTGTAGTGCCTGGATCGGGAGCCGAGTTGTGAGTGACCTTAATGATCTTCGCAGAGTGCACCACCTCCTTGTCTCATCACTAGACAAGGTGCAAGCAGGAAAGGGATCTTCAAGTCAGCTTTACCGGGAAAGCGCCATTACGATGGAGAAACTGGCAGTATTGAAAGCTTGGGCAGAGGTAGATATGTATGTTATTTACCCAGCTGTTTTTCTTTCTTGATCATACATCACAAGACACATGGAGCTAAATTGTTTAACCAATGGATTATTCAGCTACCTTCAGATGATTGGACACTGGCAAATCGCTCAAAGCTGCAGCACAGCCTGCATAACTCTTCCCACTCCCTGCCTGCCTCCAGTCTTTAAGTATTTTTCTTAGCTGATGTATGCATTTTCTCAGCATTTAGGGTAGTAAACCCATTTGCGCTATTTAAAAATTATTTTTTTTTACAAAACTCTTTTAGCAAGTTTCCCTACATGCTACTGTAAGCCACTGCAGCACATTTTAGGAGCTATTCCTGCGTCACTGCGCCCTGCATTTGGTGCAGCATGTGTGGTTAGCCGCAGGGGGCTTTACAGGTACAGGTCCGTGGTCCCTCTAGGTGAAGCTCTAGCAGAATGGCAGTATATTCAGCTTTAAAAGTTTAAAATTGATAACCATTTATTTTTCATAGAGTAGAAAATCCCAGGGGAAAAAGGGATTTTTTAGAAATGAGAGGTAGGTGGCATGAAATTTAAGCCACCACAAAACTTCACACTTTTTCAAACTTTTTTTTTTTTTGTTTAAATTCTTTATTTTGAGTTTTCGCATATAACAAAAAGAGGTACAAGAACATACAAAACAGACTGTCGTAATTCTCTCCATTGCATGAATACGTATACAAATCGTGCAAATTTATCACGGTTCCTGAACTCGGTAGGTAGCATGAGAGAAGATTGTCAGTCCAGTAGGTGCCCATCAGCTAGCATGGGACCATGGGCCCTAGTATGCAGGACATTATTTCTACGTACACCTTGATCAGGTATAGTATATGGTTAACATTGCTACACTGGTAGACATTTATACAAGGGTGTGTAACGGGCATGGAGGGGAGTAACGTGGACGAGGTTTAATGGAGAGGGGGGGGGGGTATAGTAGCCCCCAATAAGGGCTATAGGAGAGGGAGAGAACAGGTATAGGAAAGGGGAAGCAGAAGTGCCCAGATCCGGGCTAGGAATGTAGAGATCTAGCTGCGTTGTCATATGAACAACAAACGCGTTCGGGACCACTGACGATGCTAAAGCATCGGGTGGGTGCCTGAAGTTGACAGCACATGCCTCCGCAGCTCAATACACAAAGTAGAAAAAGTCACTTGCACTCCAGCTTAAATTCAGTCAATATTTATTGACCTCTGCAGTGTCACATCATATAGTAGCTACTACCGTATATGATGGAACACCCCCACACAGCAGCTCCCCTGATCTGTCACAGGAGGCTGAGCGGGGCGGTGTAGGAGGAGAGCTCGGCTTCTTGTGACACGCCAGCCGCTAATGACACTCTTCTCTCTTCACCGCTCGGCCTCCTTTGACAGCTTCTCTCCTCCTCGCTCAATGCTGCACTATGTCAGAAGGGACACAGAGCAGCCCCAAGCGGAGAGAAACCAGGGATGCACTGCAATTTCGGCCATTATGTTTCGGCGGCCGAAATTTCGGTGCATCCCTAGTAATTTAAAATGTTGTATATTCTGTGTGGACATGAGGATGATATGATCACTGATCTTCCCACCACTGAAACCTTCAGCTGGCTGCTTCAACTGTCTGCTAGGCGTCTTGATCAAGACTTGATCACAGGTACCCAAAGTCCAGCAGTAGTTGCAAGCGGAGGTAAGCTCATCAAGCACACGGAGTTAATATACTCACTGTATTTACCTTCTCTCTCATACAGTACTTTCCCGTAGTCCCTGGTGATGCAAGATTTACATTTATTTAAAACGGGTGGACAAACTTATATGGAATTCAGGCGTTGGCTACCTGGCTCCTGGGATTTGTCAAAAGCAACAGGGAAATTGTATCCAAACATAAGGAAACATTGAGCTGTTATCTATACTTTATGAACAGATGAAATAGATTATTACCGCAGTGTACCAGCATTGAATATTGATATAACAGCTATGTACTTTTTACCTTAAAAGGTGTATGTTGTTGCAATGACCATTAAAAAAGAAGCTGAAAGTAACCCCAAGAAAGTATTAAAAACCAACGATGATGAAGACATTGATTACAACACCTCAGGTCAACTTCCTCCAGACAGTCTGATATCTTTGGTGGAGTCAGAGCTTTCAATACTTAGCCGACTGTGGTCAGCTGTGCTCAGAGATTACGCGCTTCTTATCCTGCCACCTGAGTTTGCAGGCCAGCTTCCACCTGACGGTAAGTTTTTGTGTTGATTTGCTATTATGAATTATTGTGATTTTGGAACTTATTTCAAAGAAATATTGTTTTCTTTAATGCAAAGTCCTCTCATCTCTTATGTCCAGAGGTTATTGATTCCTAAGCACGCCTTTTACATTTGTTGTGTCAAGTAATAATTAATATTTTGCACTGTTTTTATTATAGCCTGTGTATAAAATGTATTTACTGTTCAAGGTACACAGGAATCAGTTATTCTAATACAATTGGGTTATACTACCACCTTCAAGAAGATTTGGACACTGACAAATGCAAAAGGCTGTTGATCAGCTGAAGCGACCATGAACTTATAGGGGAAGGATCCCCTAGACTCTGGTGATTGAATGAATAGCTGTGATCAGCAGCTGTGAATAGCTGACCTGAGGTTAAAAGGAGTAGTTTGAAACTTGTAGAGGCTTATTTTCACTGGTGTGAGTCTCTGGTGGGTTTTCCCACATGCTTTTTCGGTAAACCGTTTCTTTCTTTAATTCCGTCAGCGGGTAAAACATTCGCTGACTTGTACTTTTCTACAAGGGGTTACACACCTTGCTCCCCCTGTTAGGCCTCCCCTCCAAGCGTGGGATTTAAATCTGGTTTTCTTTGGAGACCAAGAACCTTATTTTTACTTGGAAGGTAACACAGTATTCTCATTAAGGTGAAAGGCAGAAATCACTTCCTGTGTTTGGAACAGGTTCACCACATGGAGACTTCTCTCTATTGCCTAGCGGTGCTAAGGGCCGTCATTTTTGACCTTTCTTCCCCTGCTTCTTTTAGGTTGACTGAGCCCCTTTGTGTCATTCCAGAAGATTCTCCAGCTTCCAGATCCATCATTTCTAATTAGATTTGACAGATGGTTGTTCAGACCTATGGATTTTAAGAGAACTTTTCCTGTCAAAGCCCCCTCCACCGGGGCAGTAAGTGTTTCTTGGGCTTTTCGTCAGCAGACCTCAGTATCGTAGATTTTTACAGCTGCAACATGGTCTTCCGTTGCTCAGATTTTTAAAAGGTTCTGCAAGCAGCTTTTTAATGCCCTTAGTTTGGGCTTGTCCTCCTGTGTTGTTTTGGGGTGTCTGCCTCTCAGTTCGGACTGCTTTTGGATGTTCCTAGGTTTCTTACTATCAAGTTATGTCCCTGAATGTAATCTGTAGTGCTCTTCACATGAAATATTGAACATAAATAATATACAGAAAATCATACATATATGAACTTTGTGCCAGATACTTATCAACTCTTACATAAGTCATATAAATTTGTGTCAAATATATATCAAATAAAGTGATCAAAAGTCTCTTTTAAAAGAGAACTATGGCCCAACCTTTTTTGGCCATAGTTCTTTTTAGGATCACAGAAGGGCATTTACTATGCCCTCCTGTGACCCAAAACTCAGCATATATCGGGCTATTGCCCACTATATGTTGACAGCGCAGAGCCGCTCTGTGGCGGGGAAAAATCCCGACAATATTGTCAGGATCCACCCCACCACCTGATTGACCGCTGGCTCTACCTCTCTAGAGGCAGACCCAGCTGTGCCCGCCCCCTCCCCCATCTGTCCCTCCGGTCAGCGCTGGAGGAACAAAGAGGGGAGGGTGGAATCCCTGCGGGGAGCGGTGACTGACAGTCATTGCTCTCTGCAGGGAGAAGATCGGGAGCTAAGCGATCAGCAGTATGTGATCGCTCAGTTCTTGATCTACAGAGCCAAACTGTGACAGCTGTAGTGTCACATGTCGGTTCTATTTATGGGAATGAGTGTATTTCACTCTCCCCAAAATTCTCCTTTTTTTTATGGCCATTGCAGTTTTTTTTTGCCTTGCATACCTAGTTGGTGCTCAAAGTTGCCACGCTTCCATTCCAGATATTTACCCAAAAAAATAACTGTTCCGTGCTAAATTTGTAATATGTTCACTGTAGTAAGATAATGACTGAACACAATCCGTGTTTTTGTACTATAAAATAATGTTGTGTTTATGTGTAGGTGGCGCATTTTATACCCCAGAAACAATTGATACAGCAAGACTACATTACCGCAATTCTTGGGCTGCAATCCTGCATGCTGTAGCACTTTGGCTGAATTCTGCAGGGTTTAATAACTTTGAGGTCACAGATGAAGCAACAGTGTTAGGATCCCAGAAACGAAACCCAACCATAACATTGAATCAACTACCAGGAACACCACCCAGTCCCAAGTCCCTACTGGAGCTTAACAAGGATAGAATGCATCTTATTTTGGGTAGGTGAATAAATATTTTTGTAATGCTGCTGTGCTGTAAACCTTTTACCAGGCTATAATGTTGTATGTAAATGACAAGTGAGCACTGGATTTGTTAAGTAGTGGGGATTATCCAAGTGTCCTGATTCATAAACATTTCATCTTTAGGTATAAGCATCCAGTTCTTTTGTACACCGCGACCCGAGGAACCCATTGAACATGTCACAGCCTGCCTGCAAGCTTTACACATACTTCTGGATTCCCCCTTTGCTAAAAATTATATAGCAGAAGATCAGGTATATTTTAAATGGCTTCTTCAATCTTTTCTTCTCCTTGTATGCTATCAACAGTAGTTTGTTTGGTTTGGGTGACAGGTGGGCTTCTTTTGTAAGCTGCAGCTATTGGTTCAAGGGCAAACTAAGGACTCAGGCGTTCGTATCTAATGCAGCTTTTTCCATTCAAATTCTGCTATTTGACAAGAAACGTTTGCCTGCAATTTAAATGCACATTGATAGAACATGATGCACAAAGAAGCACAAAGCAGGCCAACCACAGCTTCTAATTGTCTACAATAAATGGGTCTCTACACTTCTCTTTTGAAGTTAATGGGATTCTGCTGACCTCCATTTTAGAAGGGTTTTAAATGCATATCAAACACAGAAAAAACATACTGTGAACACAAGCTCTTTAACAACCTTGCAAGTGTTTTATTATTTATTGCAATTTACAACTTACTGATCCAGGACAAGTTGGATGGATCAGTCTCACTAATCAGAAAGTTCCCATAGCCCAGTAATAAAATCTACCCTATAAGTTGGTTGCATCCACAAAGGACTTGCAGGGGGACAAGGGATGGGGTGTATTAATCCATCCTGGTCTTTCCTGTATTTGAAGGAATTCCTTTTGATTTTAGGCTACGATAAATGTTTTTAGTTTAAAGCTAAAAATGCAAATTAATAGAGCATTGGTTTAATTGGATCTGTGGATTAAATTGCCTGTTTATGTTCCCCTTACTCTAATTTTGGGCACTTAAAGAAATCATATCACCAGAGCTAGCAATATATTTTAAGCCATCTTGACAGTAATGTATTGCAGAGTTAAGGTGCCCATACATTATACGATTATCGTACGAGAATCGCAGGAAATCCCGTGATAATCGCAAAGTGCATGGAAGGCGTGCAACCGTTTCTACAGTACGGTCACACGTCTTCTGTCGAACAAGCAGGCTGGAAAACCCGCCGGGTATCGTACGATTCTCGGCGGGTTAGTGGCCTGCTTGTGCGACAACTGCCGAACGGGCCGGTGTGCGCACGCGTACACTGCCCGTTCAGCATTGCAGTCATTGGAAGCCCGCCCCTCAGGGGGGCGGGCTTGCGATGATCGCAAGTACGATCTGCCTATCCAAGATGGGCACATCGTACGTTTTTTAATTACTTTACAACCTTCGCAAGACAAAAGTCTTGCTAGGGTTGTAAAGTGTATGGCCACCTTTACAGGTATGGGAAATAACAGAAGACTCCTACACTTCTGGGTAGGGTTGCACAGATACCAAGTACAGTACTCGGTACAAGTACGAGTACATGTACCGATACTTTTGAGCTCCAAGACTACACTAGAGAAAAATTCAAAAATTAGGAGGCAGCTGTCATTTGTAAGGAGCACACGGAGCTCCTGGGATTTGTACATCTCTGTTTTAATGTACGATTTTGTTTTTATAAATATAAATAAAGGGATGCACAGATACCAGTTTTGCGAGTACGAGTACTGATACATTTTTGTTTATTGTCATGTGACAGTTTTTCTAAAACAATACAGACTAATGATGTCAGGACAGTGGTGGAGCGTCAGAGCCCGGTCCCAGCTGCAACCTCTGCAACCCTGGTAGTTCTCGTGAAAATGCCAAGTATCTGCACTGGTACTCGAAAAGTATCTGTGCATCCCTACTTCTGGGTGTGTCAGATTCTACTATTTCCAGCTGCCCTCTGCTGCTCCTTCACTCTCTTCTCACAGAGGCTTTGTAGCACAGTCTCATATTAAAAAAGGTCAGTGCTGAAGCTGTGTTCAGGAGTCACTCTTCTGGCTCTGCCTTCATACACTGAGGCTGTGTTTGAGAGGGAGCACAGGAGCTGGCAGAGGGAGAAATTACTACTTCTATCTGCTAGTGTATGGCCTCTTGTAAACTATTACGTTATGTCTGGATGCTCTTGCATCTTAGGTGAAAACTTGATTCTGTACAGATGCAAAATATTAAAGCTTTATTGTAAAATGTCACTATATGAAGCAGGACATTCAGCACTCTTGGGAGAGAGAGCTTGTGTAGGGGCAGGATTGTTAGTAAGATTTCTGTGCAGCATATCTCACTTACCACCAGTGCTGCACCTGCATAAGCAGTACAGTATTCCAAACACCATGTCGACATATGTGAACAAAGTGCTAAAGTTGTGCACAGGAGAGTGCTTCCCAATGACCTCCTCAGTACTCTGTGTTTACATACACTAAGGCTGTGTTCCGTAGCAGCTCTCCTGCACACAAGCTCTGGGCATATAAATTGCCAGCTGTGTCTGGACTACTCCCCCAGCATCTCATCATTTTTTTATATATATATATATATATAGCAAACAGTGCTGAGGCTGTTTGGGAGCCGCAACTCTCTGAACACAGACTCAGCTGTTGACTACTTCCATGAGGCTCTGTACAGGAGATCGGCTCCCAGTCCGTCTCCGCTCTGTTTGTTTACCTATGCAGAGGCTGTGTTTGGGTGTACTTTTCCTGCATACATCCTCTGTTGTCAAATGTCAGTTGCGGTTGACGTAACAACCAGGGGAGGAACAGCAGGGGGCAGATGAAAAAAAAAATCACTATTACATTGTTGGCTCTGTGTACAGGGTCTCTTTAACTGTATCCTTGGTTAAACCTCACTTTATTTATTAATGGATGGGCACAGGAAGTTTTTTACCTTTTTAAGTTATGCAACTACCTACAAGAGGAATAGACAACAGCCAGCAAAAACATTAGGCCAGCCCAGGATAACCACTCCTACTACCAGTTGTTTTGCTAGTGTCAAAGAAGGATGGATATTTTTCTTCAGCTCTGCTTTGTGAAAGCTTAACCTAATTTTGCTAGAACCTTTTTTCATACTCAACATTTTCCTTCAATCAATACTCTGTTATATTGCTGCTAGAACTAGTCTCTTCATTTCCAGCTAACTAGCACAGCAGTCCTGAGCTTTTGGAGTGCCGCATCTGGGCCCCCTCTTCACTGAATATTGTGGGAATATCCTCAGAAGTATGTATGTATGTGTGTATATGTGTGTATATATATATATCCATATATATAATAAATCTTACATTGCACACATTTTCTTACACACTATCATTTGTTAAGTCCGTTATTTGAAAAAAGAACAGTGGAAATTGTGGCACTATATAAACAAATAATAATGTTGCAATTTTTACTTAGCTGATGTGAGCATTGCTGTGGTCACATGCACTTGTCGGTACAACCTTTTTTTCTTTGATGCCTACAGTTGCATTTTTGCCAAAGAATCTTTAAATGCATAATTCAATCAATGCTTTTTTTGCATCCATCATAAACCTTCTGTTTTGCATTTGTAATGCATCATTTAAATTTCCTCTATTTTAGGTGGTTGGAGTAGAACTTTTAAATGTCCTTCATCGTCTTCTGCTGACATATGACCCACCTAATGTTCAGCTACTAGTTACCAATGTAGTACAGCAAATCATGAGGGCAGCACAGGACAAGTTACAAGAACAAAGAACTGCTCAGAGTAAGGCTGTTTGTTAATGATGCACTACTGCTTTTAAAAAGTCTCAGACTTACATGTGTGCTTGTGTTACTTGCATGTGTATTTGTTTAGTTTGTTACTGTATATGTATACATAAAAAATCTAAATTATGGCAGATAATCATTGTTTTTTTTTACGAATACTGTTGATGTAATGAAAAAAAAGATCTAAATACTTTATTATTTACACCAGACAAAGATGACACAAGTGAAAAGGAAACACAGACACACTTGGGTGAAGGTGAAGAAAGTGGCGGACTGATTCCAGGAAAGTCTCTGGTCTTTGCTGCTATGGAGCTGCTAATGTTCATCTTAGTACGACATCTGCCACAGCTCAGCGCCAAGGTGTCTGATTCTCCCAGCCACATTGTTGCTAAAAATCAGCAGCTTTCAGAAGAGAGTGTACGCCTTATAGCAGCCACAGTGTCAATCCTTGCTGAGCTTCCATCATTGTGCTCTCCAGCAGGTAATGTGTTTAGGATTTCTGATTTCTGTCTCTGTAAATGGCTTCACTAAAATGTTGTGTCCTCTGCCTGTTTCATTTCATATATGGTTTTCTAGCTTCTTTTGTTTAGAGATCATTTATACCACCTTTTATTTATGCCACGCTTTCGCATGTGTGCAGATAGGGTATAAGGTATAATTTTCAGTGGCACCTGAATTGACACATGGCAAGCGCAGGCTTGGGCTCACCCACTGGAGGACAGGAGGCCCATGCTGCCTACAAATACAGCACAGGCTGCCATAGGCTGTAGTTGACTGCTCACTAGGAAGTCAATTACAAAGCCTGCTCTGCCCCTCTGTGTCAGCAGCCCACCAACCTGTATGACATGTCAGAGATGCTCTACTAATGTTCAGGTGCCAGCCTATCTCCCAGTATTAGCTTAGGGTCACCTATGGCTGTGTACGTCATAACATGAAGAAGCCCGCCTTGTCTACCCTCTTGTTCCGCCTAGTGGAATCACCAGTTCAGCAGGTATAAATGTAAAATCCCTGTGTTTCTGATGATGCATAAACCAGGACTGATCTAAGGTCTGAAGTCACATGCATTAAAGCTGATCTGCGGTGTGAAGGTGCAGGAATTAGGGCTGATCTGAGGTCTGAAGGTGTGGGTACTGAGGCTGATTTGAGGTCTGAAGGTGTGGCAATTGGTGCTGATCTGAGGTCTACAGGTGTGGGAATTGGATCTGATGTCTGAAGTGCATGCATTGAGGCTGATCTGAGGTGTGAATGTGCATTTATTCTGGCTCATCTCAGGTCTGAAGGCGCATGCATTAGGACTGATCTGAGGTGTGACCGTACACAAAATGGTGCTGATCTGAGGTCTAAAGGCGCAAGAATTGGGGCTGAACTGTGGTCTGAAAGTGCAGGAATTGGGGTAGAACATGTTAACAGTAAATATGAACTTGTTTTGTGTGTGTACCAGTTAATATAATACTAATTTAGTGAGTTTTTCTTTCCATTAGCAGTGAAAGTATGAGTGTAAAAAAATGTATTGATTTATTACAGGTATTTTATATAGCGCTGAAAATTTTACGTAGCTCTTTACATAGTTGCACATTCAGTACCTGCCCTCAAGGCGCTTACAATCTAAGATCCCTATCTCGCATGCATACATACCATGGCCAATTAAGACCGGAGCAAATTAACCTACCAGCATGTCTTTGGAGTGTGGGAGGAAACCGGAGTACCCGGAGGAAACTCGCGCAAGCATAGGAGAACATGCAAGCTGAAAACACACTATGACTACGACATGCTGTTGTTCACTGGCATATGCGGTTGTCTAATTATAAATTGAAACACTCTTATATGGAATGCTGACCCCTGATTTATAGTATACATGTGTTTTTATTTTGCTTTTTTTGTAAGGTTGTGTCCGTTCTGTTGTTGTTTCAGCTTGCATACCAAAGTCATGTGACAGCAGACAATTTTTATTTTATGGATTATAACCTTATTTACCAGTAAAGAAAACAAATAATTGCGCAAATACTGCATACTTTGATCCGGTGTACACAAATTATTTGCAAATGTGATTTTTATCTTTTTCTCCTGCAGGGTGCATGACAATATTGCCTACCATTCTTTACTTGATTACAAAAGTTCTAAAGGAGACCGCAATTAGGTCTGCAGATAATCAGGTCCCTCTACCTGTCAGTGCTTGCCTACAAGCTATCAAGACGGTCATCTCTTCACCATTGGCAAAGACTGAAAAAACCGAGAAAAAGTGGAGTGATCTGATTCGCAGCACGTTGGCAACTATATTAGAATTCTCTCCGGCAGGTAAGAGGGAAAAAATACCATGAGTGGTGAATATGGAAAGTACTACACTATCTGAACATTTTGTTTTCTTGAAAGACTTGCAGAAGGTACAGTTGTAAATGGCCAGTCTACCCAAAATGGATATTTTAGTGTTTGGTGTATGCTGTAGAGCTGTTGGTGTACGCTGTAGAGCTAAGGTGTGTTTTTCTAGTTTTGGATAACGTGAGAAAAGTTTAAACCTCTGTCAGGTACTTTGTACTTGCTATGGAGATTTACCTTTTCTATTTTTTCCGGTGACCATTTATACCTGGGTGGAAAGTTGTGGGAAATCCACAAATTCACAATTGTCACCAAAACAGGAGGAGAATGTTAATCTTCCATTGGGGACACCTGTTCCAGTGACTGGGATTTCCCATTACTTTGGAGAGTTTTCTTTGCACTTACGGTTGTGTCTTTGGGACAGAAAGTGAGAGGAAAGCTCCCCAACAGGACACATGGCCTAAGGAAAATTTGACACATTCCAACAATTCAATACTGAAAAAAAAAGGGGGGGAAGGAGAAAAGGTCTTGAATAGACATACACTTTAAATCACGTTATATCTCACTAGGACTCTGGTGGAATGTTTGCCTTGCTCATTTCCATTTTTTATTTATTTTCATGGAAAACTGACAAAACTCAGTAAAAGCATTTAAAAGTAGGGACAACATCTAACAATCCAAGCTATAGCAAACGGATATTTATCCTTAAGTTCATAGATATAAGAAGTCCACAAAAGGCATCACCTGTGACTGAAATATCACTTTTAGGTGGGTTAACCCCTTGACGGTTTTAGACTTTAGAATGGTATGAATGAGTAGTATATGGGCGTCTTACAACTTCTTACAACTTTTGGGTTTGCTGGCTTGTTGAATGATTAAAAAGGTTTTTTTTTCTTTTGTAGTTTCTTTGGTAAGTGTTTCTGTAAAAAAATAACTCAAGGCAACTGGACTTGCTATATTTTTCTTGAAGTCGTTTCACTGGACATCCGACCAGCTTTCATAATTCAGAATGACTTGTACAAGCTTTCTCAATTCTGAATTGAGAAAGCTGGTCGGATGTCCAGTGAAACGTCTTCTTGAAAAATACAGCAAGTCCAGTTGCCTTGACTTATTCTTTACAGATATAGGATGAATGAGAACCTTCACAGACATTTGGTAAGTGTTGGACGTATTTGGGGACATTTGTCCAGGAGAAACAAATTGGAAAACACTTGAGTTTTACTCCTGGTAACAATCAGCTTACAGCCATTATTCAGAGGGTAAATTAAACCAAGAATCTGGTCACTATGAACAACTAGTATTTTGATGTCTCTAATATTTTTATAGTAGTCTCTTAAGTAGTGACCCTGGTAGTATGATGATTACAATCAATTATCAAACAATTACATTATTGGTACTTGATGTGCTGTACTAATGGCTGGTCCAAGTTTGTGGAATGTGGGAAATCTTTGCAAAAACTCTGTCTGCATTCTTTTATCGTGTGTGTATATCTTACAGCTAGAAGTGCTTCAAGTTTGAAATGTAGCTTTAACATTTTATTACCTTATGCAGGTGACTCCAAGTACACAGCAGATGATGTTAGCATACTAACTGCTGTTGTACTTTTCCTGTGGTCTACAAGCGCTGAGCTTATTGGGGTGCAGTCATTACAGACTGGATGCATAAACCGGTTCAAAGCTGCAATGACCTCCACTGATCCTTGGGTGAGTTTGCCGTGAGGAAATTCTAAGAATTCCTTACCTCATTTCTGTCCTATAGGTGTTGTGAATATAGTGCTGCTTTATATAGAATGATGGATTTAAAGTGTAAGCAAACAATTGAAGACCCAGATCAAATATTTGTGAACTTTCAGAAATTAGATATTATGATTAAATTAGAAATGATGTGTATAATTTAGAAGTTCATTATTTACATTTTTGGTGCATATGAGAATTCGCTCAGCTCGCTAAGGTTCAGAATTTTAACCAGCTCTTAGCAGAAAAAGAACTTAACTCTAAGCAAACACTTTTCCATAGTTAGTACCCCGATGGACCGCAGTCATTTTCCATTTTTCCTATGGATCTGTTGATTCAGCAATAACGTGGTCATTATTTAAGATGACAAAGTAATACTTATACCATTTTGTTTAAGAAAAACAAGGCTTTCCCTTTTTTAAACAAAAAGCTATTGGTTATAAAAATGTAACATGTTATTCTGTAAGCTGTCCTATTTATAAGGAAACTATAATGACTTTTTTGATGCAAAGCATGTGGGTTATTTACAAATGAAATAAGGGATTTTTTTTTTCTAATTGGGGTTAAATAGGAACACAATTTATATATGTTTTCACCTAGTAAGGTTACTTTAAGCAGGTTTTGCATTCCTATAGACTTGTATAGAGATGCAAAATTTGCTTGAAACAAACAACACCTTCAACACAGCCCTAAATATACAATATCGTGCGATAATCGTGGGTGATCCCGCGATCGTACGATAATCGGCAGGTTATGGGCAGCGTGCGACCGATTCTACTGTAAGGTCGCACAACTTTCGTCTTCTGAGCACGCTGGAAAACCTGCCAAAAATCGTATGATTTTCGGCGGGTTGGTGGCGTGCTCAGAAGACGAGTGCCGCACGGGCCAGTGTGCGCAAGCGCACACTGCCCGCTCAGCACTGCAATCATCGCAAGCCCTCCCCTTAGCGGGGAGGGCTTGTGATGATCGCAAGTACGATCTACCTGTCCAAGATGGGCAGATCGTATGACATTTTAATCACCTTACAACCATCGCACAACGAAAGTCGTGTGATGGTTGTAAGGTGTATGGGCAGCTTTAGATTGTTTTTCGTAATGACACTTGCAGACACTATCATGCAGAGCAATTGCTGATTATAGCAGGGGAGCTCTGGCAGGGGGTAGGAGACAAACTTTTTAGGATGTATTTCTTAAGGTGGCCATACACTTTACAACCTGTACGTTTTTTTAATTACTTTACAACCCTCGCAATGGCCACCTGTAATGGCCACCCTCGTATGCCCACCTGTAAAGGTGGCCATACACTTTACAACCCTCGCAAGACTTTTGTCTTGCGAGGGTTGTAAAGTAGTTAAAAAAACGTCCGATCTGCCCATCTTGGACAGGCAGTTCGTACTTTCGATCATCGCAAGCCCGCCCTCCTGAGGGGCGGGCTTCCAATGACTGCAATGAGGGGCGGGCTTCCGATGACTGCAAACGGGCAGTGTGTGCATGCGCACACCGGCCCGTTTGGCAGTTGTCGAACAAGCAGGCCACTAACTCACCGAGAATCGTACGATTCTCGGTGGGTTTTCTAGCATGCTGGTTTGACGGAAGACGTGCGACCGTACAGTAGAAACGGTCGCACGCCTTCCATACACTTTGCAATTATCGTACGATCGCGGGATTTCCTGCGATTCTCGTACGATCATGCAGTGTATGGGCACCTTTACACTGAAGGCCCAGAACTGGTTAACCTGGCGTAACAGATGTGCCTAACATGAGTATGAGATGCTCCTAAAATTGAGTATCTTTTTTGACTGCCTCAGTATCAATAACAAAGCTGATGATTTCACCCTTTGTTTCACAGGTGCAAGCTAAATGTTACCAGCTCACATTCTCGGTGTTCCAGCACTCCAATCGAGCTCTCTCTACTCCTTATATTCATGCACTTGCACCCATCATGGTAGAAAATCTAAAGGCTGTTGCAAGAAAAAGACCAAGTAACAGCACCGAGTTGCTTGCAGTTCAAGAGGGAATTAAAGTATTAGAGACTGTAGTTGCTTTGGGAGAAGAAAAAAATAGTAAGTAAAATGTTTTATAAAATGGTTGCTGTTTACCTGCTACTACAATGTTTTAACATGTCATCAAAGCTGTAAGATTATTGTTTATGGTTATTTTATTTGTCTGTGTGTGTGTGTGTGTGTGTTATCGCCTGTTAAGTTTTAACTTAACCTTACTTTCCTACAAAAATAAATACTGTATATATTATTGCTGTCTGTCTTCGCTGGAGAGACTTATCTACATTTCCTGTTTTGCTGGTAACATTTGAGAAAGTAATCTCGCCTACAAGGAGACCGATAGCCAGTAATATCTGACAGGTTCTAACCCTTCCCTGCTCTAATGAAAGATATAAAAGTATTTCCTGTTGTGTACTGTACATTTGACCCCTGTCTGTTTGTTTGCATAGTGGATGGATAGGATGAAAAATCTGTTCTTGTGAAGGCTGCATGCTTTTGTATGCTTGGTAATCATATGATTTCTGTTGTAGGCCTGTTGCCCTGACATTTGACTTGCAGTGCCCAAGGCATTTAGATGCAACAACAAGGATCATGTATTTGTATATGTGCATGCCCATTTTTGACATTTATAGGTAGAATAACCTTTCCACATGTATAATTAGAACAATTGGTTTTCTCCACAGGAGTTCAGCTTCTTGCTCTGCTTGTTCCCACCCTGATTTCTTACTTGCTGGACGTCAATGCTTTTAGCTCGGCATCGCCATCCTCAAAGGACCTTCATGAGTTTGCACTGCAGAACTTGATGCGTATTGGGCCTCTTTATCCTCATGCATTCAAAACTGTCATGGGAGCTGCTCCAGAGCTAAAATCAAGCTTAGAGACTGCCATTAGAGCTAACCAGGCAAGCAAGGCTAAAGCTGCCTCCCAACAGCCTGCTCCTACCATACAAAGTGCCCCCACCATCAAACTCAAGACCAATTTCTTCTAACTGCAGAGAAGCTCAGCAGATGGATATCCTGAAAGTCCCCCTGGCTGACTCATTCTGAAAAACATTCTGTGGGACTTTTTACTAGGAACTCTTTCATTCAGCATTAAAAAAAATGAAGAGTTTTTTGTTTCTTGCTTCCTCTAGGAGTTTTCACATCCACACCCTCATTTATTTTGAAACTCTTACATCTACAGCCAGTATCAAAATTCTGGTCTCTGAACTAAAATGCTTGTGACAACATGAGTCATTTATATCCAAAAAGGCTTATTATTTTATTGAAATTGACTCTTGCAGTGTTTTTGAATATATTTGAATTTTATTCATGAGGTCAGGTAATTACCTAGATGCATGGTTTTCTTCACCCCTGTGCCCATGTAACGATTCCTGGTGGCGAGTGTTGGATCTCAGCTGCGGAGGTAAGTGGAAATGGTTCAGGAGTGAGGTTCACGGTAACACTTTAATTCAGTGAGTGCAGTCGGAACCCCTTACACATCATACACCATTTATCCTGGGAGCATTGAGTTGGATTTGTGTTGTATAGTCACACCCTCAATTATATAGCATTGGGGCCGTGTTGTGATTCGTAGTTCGAGGCCTTAGTTGCTTCACTAAGGACCGAACTAGACTATCTCAAATGGTTGAGGAATTAACAGTCCAGGGTATATGGTGCAGCAGTGTTTGAGGAGAGAGCCAGTTATCTTCACTAAGCCCAATATGAGTACATGCAGGTGACACCAACTATGGCTAAGCAGTAATAATGAAGCAGGTAGCAGAAAAGCAGAGAGGATGCAATATGAGACTTCCCCACAAGGTGGCAGTACCAACACTTCCCCTGCATCTAGTCTGGCGGTGATATACTTGCTGTTTGGTGGGAGTCCAGTCAGGGGAAGTGTAGCTGTTCCTTGGTGCTGGGGGTATCTGGAGGCTGGATCAATGGTTCCAGAGGATGGTCAGGCGGATCAATGGTTCCAGAGGATGGTCAGGCGGATCAATGGTTCCAGAGGCTGGTCACAAGGTCTCTGCTCAAGTTGTGGGTTCCTAATAGCTTGCTCGACGTACTATTTTGCTAGAACGTCGAGCAAGTGTTCAGCCTCAGTTTAAATAGGCAGAGGCAATTGTTGGGGGCGGAGCCGGAGACGAGACCCGACCCGAGCGTCTCCTAGCAACGGGACGCCGCCGGGCCTCGTCCGTCGCGTCACACTGCCTGTGAGAGGAGAGGAGGAGCGCTG